CAATGAGCGCTTGACACGTGTCCCTGCCCGGCATTTATTGCTACTATAAATAGCACCTCATTTCCCCATTTGTAACCACGCTGAAAACGGCATTCATACTGAATACACTCTCTCTCTACATTTACTTACTTGCTCTGACTTCTTTCTAAGTTATTCCCCGTAATAACCCTTCGTATATATACCCCGGATAGACTATCCATCACCGTCTTCTACAACGTTGCATTCCTCCTCTTCCTCTTATAGTACGTTTATTGATGTATGTGTTTTAGAACATTCAATTTCAAATCGTTGCTTAATAATTCACATCATTCGTCAAGTCAATACACTTTATAAGTATGTTAGTAGTCCAGTCAATATTTTTGCTTATCGCAATAAATTTATTGAACATGCAATGTGCCCAAAATGACCTACGTTGATGAAGGGTTACGAGTTAAATACGTTGTTGGTATCATTTTACTTTATCCACTTAAGTTTCAATCACAATTTACAAATATTACTTTTCAACCATGTTTTTCCATTTTTTAATTATGTGTTCTCTATTCATTTTTTGCTTAAAAGTTTCCGGTATAACGTGCTTCAAAAAACCAAAAAACTACGGGTATAACCTAGTCCGAATAAGGCAGAAGGGTGATCATCCAATTTAATAATTTTCCGCGCCCATGATATATCAAAATCAAAATACAAAATCCTCGCAAACCGCTACTATCCGCCGGCAGGAATCTTCCTCCGGCAACTATGGCAGATGACGACCAGAGAACTTTAGATCTAGTGAAAGAGCTAGTCCACCGTTTACTTTGCACCTCATTGCAGCCTGCCACCACTTCAGCCTCTAACCCTAACCCTAGCCCATCCGAGCAGCAGTACCAGCAAGCTCTGAAGTACGCCATTCGCATCCTCTCCTGCCGCATGACTCCTAAAATTGCTGCCGATGAGGCGGCCATGGCCGAGTCCATTAAGCGCCAGTTGGCCACTCAAGGTAAGTCCTCCGAAGCCCTCACTTTTGCCGATCTCTTCGCGAAATTCTCCTCCAAAACTGGCCCTGGAAGTGTTAAGAACAAGTGGGCCCTTCTCTATTTGATCAAAACCATCTCCGAGGATAGAGTAGCACGAAAGAGTCAGCCCCTCTGCGGGGTTTCAGTTGGGGCCTTCAGCTCCGCCGTGATTGGTGGACTACCCGTGTTGTCTGACGGCCACTTAAATGTCAACTCTCGACATGTAAATTCCGCTTCTAACTCTGTGAGCACATTGGGTTATCCTAAAACATTGAGGGATTTGGATGTAAATTCGGGATATTCAATCAGTGCAGGAAAGGCAGAGAAGAATTCTACTCATGGTCCGCCCTATGAGGAGTCTCGGAATTCAAGGAGCATGAAGGGAAGAGATAACACAGAGAAGGGTTGGCTTGGAGGGGTGTTGATGGTTTCAAAAGATCCAGAGAATTTGCGTGATATGGCTTATCGCGAATTCACAAACTTGTTGAAGGAAGAGAACGAGGTTTCAGAGGAGGTTTTGGTCCGCGATGTCTTGTATGCTTGTCAAGGTATAGATGGTAAGTACGTGAAGTTTGATATAAACGAGGATGGCTATGTTCTTCCAGATTTGGTAAAAGCTCCAAGGGCTACTAGAACCATGGTTAGAAAGCTCTGTGAGCTTGGGTGGCTTTTCAAAAAAGTCAACAAGTATAGTTCAGAAAGCATGGATAGATTCCCTGCAGATGATATAGGCACCGTAGGACAAGCTTTTTGTGCAGTCTTACAAGATGAGCTATCCGATTATTTCAAGCTCTTGTCAGTTCTTGAAGCACAATCAATGAATCCCATCCCTTTAGTTTCAGAAAATGCAACTTCAGGCAATTACCTCTCCTTAAGAAGACTCTCCGTTTGGTTTGCCGAACCTATAGTGAAGATGAGATTAATGGCTGTCTTGGTCGACAACTGTAAAGTTTTGAAAGGTGGATCAATGGCTGGGGCGATCCACATTCACGCCCAGCATGGGGACCCACTTGTGAAGGATTTCATGAAGAGATTGCTCCACAGGGTTTGTTCCCCTCTTTTTGAGATGGTAAGGAGATGGGTTCTCGAAGGAGAGCTCGAAGATTTATTTTCGGAGTTTTTCATCGTTAGTCAACCAGTGAAAGCAGAGTCACTATGGAGGGAAGGTTACCGCCTTCACTCTGCAATGCTTCCTTCTTTTATCTCACAGACCCTCGCACAACAGATTCTAAGGACAGGAAAGTCAATAAATTTTCTCCGTGTTTGTTGTGAGGATAGAGGTTGGGCTGAAGCAGCAACAGAAGCTGCCACAGCTGCGGGGACCACAACCTCTAGGGGCAGTCTAAGGTATGGTGAGACAGACGCGCTTGAGTCACTGGTCACCGAAGCAGCAAAAAGAATAGACAAACATTTACTTGACGTAATGCATAACAGGTATAAGTTCAAGGAACACTGTTTTGCAATAAAGCGCTATCTGCTTCTTGGGCAGGGTGATTTTGTCCAGTATCTAATGGACATTGTGGGACCCGATCTATCTCAACCAGCCAACACAATTAGTTCCTTCAAGCTGGCCGGTTTATTGGAAAGTGCAATCAGATCGTCCAATGCGCAGTATGATGATCCGGATATACTGGATAGATTGAGGGTCAAGATGTTACCACATAACTCTGGTGACAGAGGTTGGGATGTTTTTTCCTTGGAATACGATGCTCGGGTCCCACTAAACACCATTCTGACAGAGTCTGTTATGGCGAGGTATTTAAAAATCTTTAATTTCTTGTGGAGGCTCAAAAGGGTGGAACATGCACTTACTGCTGCCTGGAAGACAATGAAACCGAATTGCGGAACTCATTCCTTCTCTAATAATAATAAGTTGCCGCATGATGTGAAGCTGCATTTGGATTTGACATCTAGGAAGTGTCAAGTTTTGTGGAATGAGATGAACCATTTCGTGTCTAATTTGCAGTACTACATCATGTTTGAGGTTCTTGAGGTGTCTTGGTCTAACTTACTTGTCGAAATGGAGCTAGCCAAAGACCTCGATGACCTGCTTGCTGCACATGAAAACTATTTGTTTTCAATTGTTGAGAAATCTATGCTGGGGGAACGGTCCCAGGCTCTTAATAAGACGTTGTTCGTGTTGCTTGACTTCATATTACAATTTCAGAGTCACGTTGATAGATTATATGAAGGCATCAACGAGTTGCAATCTAGGTATTGGATTCTCTCTCTATATAGTAACACTATGAGCCTGTTTGATATTGGTGAATTTGGAAGAAATTGCTGAAGTTGTTAAAATTATTTAATTTAATTAAAAAATAACATATGGAATATTATTGATAAAGTTGATAATCATTGACTAAAATGGATCATCTCCAGCGAATTCTGCATAAGAAAATACATCTGGTTCTGATAAGTTAGTTTTCAGTGAAATAGTACCTTTTCAATTACAAACCAAGTCAACACATGCAGTAAATTAAATCAGCGTTTGGTAAAAAAATATGGATGATAGCCTTAAGGCAAATGGCTAGACGGCAACTGTGCTCTTCTTGATCTGTTTCCTATAATAAACTTATTATAATTCCTGTGTTTCACTTGCAGAACTGCAGAGTCATCAACGATACTCAAGGACCGAGTCAAAACACTAGGAAAGTCTAAACCTTCTTCAGATCCAGGTGGTGGTGGTTCATGGCTTGGGGAGGGTAGGAAGGCTCTAACTCAACGGGCTGGTGAATTTCTTCAAAAAACAGGAAAAGTTATCGAAACGACTTCAAATGAATATTCGTCCCTTCTAGAAGGGTTCATTTCACAACTGCCTATGCAACAACACATTGATTTGAAGTTTCTTATCTTCAGACTTCACTTCACCGAGTTTTACAGTCATCTTCGTGGTAATATTGGAGGGAAGCTTATATAGGTCTGTTATGAAAGTACAGAACGTGCACACTGGCAGTTAACCACTTCAAAATTTCTTCATCTTCACCAACGAGCTAAAGTGAGGATTTGAGTTTTATTTACTGTGTGGGAAGTTCCATTTGGCAGTGTTTATGTATTGTTTTTTTATTCAATTGCTTATTATTAGATCACGTTTTATTCATTTAGTAAGAGTTGTGGTTTATTTGTAACATATTTTTGTTTAGCCCAAGGTAAAGTCACTTCTGCTTGACTTCCCAGAATCCCAATTAATTAATTGGCTCTGTGGTTTCCTGTATTGGCCTGATGATGAGAAAGAAAAAATGTTTTATATTCAGAGGCATTTTCTTGCCTAAAGTCTGGTCTTTGTATGTGTGCACTTGTGAATATTCTTTACAGCAACAACTTTAACATGCAAAAGATATCAGAGACACAAAGCTATAGGGATTACCTTAGTAATCAAAACTGAGTTAATGAGAATTGGAACTTTTGGGATTGGATTATATAACAACTGAATGATTAGTCGATTGAAATTCACATTTCCAGAATTCATTCTTGACTTTGTGATGCCTACATCTTATGGAAGGGTAATTCTTGTTGTACACAAAATTTGTATATAAATTGTACACTACCTGTGTACACACACATTTTGGCAGATAATTATGCCCCTTCTAAATGAATTGTTTGTGTACACAAGCAACTAGGAGTTGTGTATACAATTTGTATACTAAATTGTTAAAATATGTTATCTAGGGGAAAATATGTTAAATATGTTAATATAAAAATTAATATATATTTGGCGTCTAATAAAACTATTTTTGTTATTTCAATTATATAAAGATTTATAATTCTACACTCGAGTCAAAAACAAAGATTTTGAATTCTAAACATATGCAAACATCAATCATCATTCTTTTTTCTTGAAATCTTGTGATCCAAACATACCAGTATACCACAAGATTTTTATTAATTTTATTCTTAGGTCATATTTTCAAACTTCAACATCATTCCCCATCCTACTAAGTACTATCCAAGAGCTTGGATCTTTCGTTTTTTAATGATTATTGATTAGCTTGGATCCTTCTTTAAAAAGGCCACAAACAAACTTATAATAAACAATCTTATGCGGTTTCCTCTTTTAATGCTCTAATAATACAGCGCAATAACAAGAGTTATGTTGACATTTGTACTATGCAATGGGGGGGGGGGGGGGGGGGGGGGGGTCCAAAATTTCATGTTGCTGCTTCCATCAGTTCCATGATGTTTAAATATGTTTCTCTTCTATACATACATAAACATATATTGGTGCTCCACAATCAAGGAGGTCTAAGGGTATTTTTAGGAGCACTAATCCAAGTGGAACCTCCAATTGCAAATCTCCATAATGCATTAACATCTGTTGGAGAAGCATACTCAATACCAACTCTTGGTCCCACCAATATTTCTTCAGGCTTTGGGCCATCTAAAATTTCTAGACCACCTGGCAAACATCCCATATACAAAAATGAGTTGATATCAATTTTTATAGTCAGGCATTATCCAGATGAAAATATATAAAGAATGATGAGAAAGCTCGCCTGGAGTATATAGGGGATGGTTGGACCATTCTGTCGATAACCCTAATGCTTGACCAACCTACAAACAAATTCAAATCAATGGGATCACAATGGAGTGAATGTGAGTAAGAGATTATATGAAACTGAACCTAATTACTATTACCTACATAACAAATCTATTTTTTCGTACAAATTCTGGAATCTAGCCATCCTTTCAGATTGCCAGATTGACCATGAACTTTGAATCTGATCAAAATGTAAAATTTCAACTCTTGTCAAAATCGAGTCTCATTAGCATGCCACCTTGGCATCTAGTGAGTGAAATTAAAAAACATACTTTATCAGTACAAAACAGATAAATACAGTCTTTAGATTTGTCACTGCTACAATGGGTCATGATGACAAGGCAAAATTTTGACAAGAATTGAAATGAGGGCAGCGATTTTAATCAAAATCAAAACTCATGACCAAATTAGCAATTAAAAAACTAAATCTGAAATTCACATATAAGGCTAAACTACTATAAATCGCACAAATGATTAAAATTAGGCATAATGATGAAACTGAGGTTCTCAGTCGTCACACACCTTTCCAGGTCCAGAAAGAAGAACAGGTTTCTCTGTTTTTAAACCACGTCTTTCTTGAATGGTTCCCAACCCTGTATACATTACCATTAGAGTAAAACAGACAGAAAAATGAAGATTCATAACCGAAAAATATACAAATTAAAGATTTTAAATCATTTGGGAAGGGTTTGGTACAATTATTACCAAAGATGGGAGCACAAGAACGAATCAAGACAGCTGCTCCAATGCCTTCTTTGTCTGCTACAACATTTAGCATGAAATGCATTCCATAGCAGAGGTATACATATGCATGTCCACCACGACCAAACTATTTGTGTCAATAAATTCAAAGCCACTTAAAAAAACTACCAGACTGCGACATGGCTTAAGCAGAGCTACTTACCAAAGTACCAAACATTAGAAAAAACATATTAGAGAATGTTTGGGACAGCTTATATTCAGATTAGAAGCTCTCTTTTAGATTAAAATATGTTTTAATAAAGTCATGTTTTAAGGAGCACATGAGGCACTTATATCTATAATCAGCTTAATTGTTTTGAAAAAAATGTTTGTTTGAATATGTATGTTTGTGGTTTATGATTCTTTTTCAACCATTGATTCTTTATATTTCACAAGACGACAAAATTTTCCCAAACAAAAAACTAATCCCGAGTCCCTAACTATAATCAATTATAAGTTTATAACACAACTGATATTTATATATAAAAGATTATTAAAATAATCTAATTTCTCAGATCTCCCAAACACACTATTAGGATGTTTTTGCTTGGAATTATTTCAGTCTCGGTCCAGACTGGACCAAACTTCTGCAGTTATAAAATACACAGAGACCAAACATATACCAGACCAGTTCAAACCAAAACAGGCTTAAACAAACCAGACCAGACCGGAAAATTCCAGTCCAAGTAAAAACATCCTTGGTGGTTAGTGAACAGGTTCACATTCTTACTTGCTGTAATTGGACTTAAATTGGAATACACTTGATGGTTTTGTAGTTTTAGATATTGCTTCACCCAGTCTAAACAAATATTGATAAAGATGAAAAGGAGATTGTCCGTTGGAAGAAAGGATGAATGATACATAACAGCATTAAAGTCACAAAATCAACACAATCAATACAGCATCTTAAATGTTTACCGTCATTTCCATTATGGCGCTGTACTCAACTCCATGTAGTGTGATTGCTAATGTTGAAACTATTTTTTTGACATATTACACAAAGGTTATTATGGGAATAAGGCTTGGATGTTGTTGTTGTTGTTGTACAGAAAGGTTATTCCAAATTTGATACAAGAAATAGGTGCAGTCGTGCAGATTCAGTTCCAAAGCACTATTAAATTCAATGAGAGATACTTTTAGCCTCCAAGTTTGCATGTATCACTGTTTAATTGAGGCACACAGGATTAAGGAAATAACGTCGCAAGTACAATTGCAATAAATTTGCATGACTTTCATCCTTACCAGATAAATATAGCTCCTATTTGATTCCCTGTTCGGTTTATTGGTCCTGAATAAGCCAGTTTTTTACCAGACACCGAGTTATCTTCTTAAATTAACTGAAGCGCTTGATAGTAAGAAAACTTAGTGCTAAGTTACTTTGGCAGAAGAAAATAAAAGACCTGTGTACATCATATAGTAGTTATTGGAATTCTTTTCCTAAACATTACGTACTTAAATAGAACTTATGAACAAAAATGTGAATATATGACTACAGTTACTACGGGACATTATCGAGACTAGTAGTACATCATGGCCACTCTTGAGCAAAAAAAGTCAGAGTCCGTTAAAGACACATTATGTGATTATGTCGAGTTATTACTCCCTCCATCTCTAAATGTTTTTTCCTGCTTTCATTTGTTTTCACCTCCAAAAAAGTTCTTGGCATTTTTGTTTTGTAAAATTTGACCATTAACTTCTCTCTCTCTCTCTTTCCTAAGGTTTACTAGATTCTCACTCTTCCCACATGGCATAGCCCACCCTCCTAAAAACTAATGCAAAACTAAAAGTGGAAGAACATTTGTAGATAGGGGATGTATTTCATTTTATTTATTAAAACATACAACTAAGTTTTGACACACATACATTATACATACATCAAAAGGCATTCATCATATTGGACAATTTAAGCAAATTCATTAATCTCAACCTTTTTTAACCCATCAAATGAGCTATAACAACTTTATAGGCGTTTTTTCTAAAATAAAGGCACAACCATTTCTGAATCAAATAGTTAAACTGGCCATCTTTAGAATTTCAACACTATTTTTTCTGCATTAGTGCATACTTTTAATACTAAACTTGGAGAAATAAATGACAGTTTGACACAACAAATTCAAATTCATCATTCATGTCCCAGACCGACACGTATAATTATTGGTTTATGTACTGTTTCTTTTTCAAGGAGGGGTGAATAGCTTAATTCCCCTTCTTCAGTTTTGCTCTGTATGGATATGAAATTATCTTGCATACATAAGTGGACTTGCAACAATTTAGGATTCTCTGTCAAAATCTCACTTAGATAAATAATGGTAAAGTAACCATAAACTAAAATTGCAGCCATTAAACCCTACCACAGGAGCAGTCCTTGCTGTTACTCCGAATCGACCGTGGCAGGCTGAATCATCTGGCCTATAAGCTTCCACCTACAACAAAGCCAACACGTCACATTTGTGAGACACTAAATAAATTCATTACCCGTCCCAGAAATAAACAGGACCAGAAATGAGAAGACCTGATGAAATAAACCATCAAGCTTGAAGCTTTTACCTCTTACTGACAAGCAACAAATTATTATTAAGGCACAGTAGTGATTACCTCAGTAATCTGAAGAACAACATCGTCTCTCCTCAGAAACTTGCCGAGCAAACGCGGGGCGAGATCGAGAGCGTCGATTTGGAAGAAATCTGGGGTCAAGATTGGCCATTTTTTCAAAAAACTTGAGAGGGAAGAGCTAATTGGTGGGACCGAGTCAGATTCTGAACTAGATTTGGTAAATTTTGTCTTACGTTTGCCTTTATTGGGTTTGGACGAAGAATTGGCTGGTTTCGTGGAGATTTTCTTGATTGGATTTTTAAGGGGTACAGCTTTCTTCATGATCTCATTGAATATGAGGAATTGAGGACAACTGGAGAGAAATAGAACTGCTCGAAAATTTCATGGAGTGCCATCCAACTCCATTAGGAATCGAGGACAACTGAAGAGAAATATACAGTACTTTTTTTAAAAGGTAATAACTAAGTAATATACAAGCCATCTTCCAAGAATAACAAATATGGAGTAACATATACTTTAGAAATATTTTTTTTAAATATAAATAACTTTTAATAATACCAACTATTTGAACATTTTTCATTAAAAATTTAATCATTTAACTTATCAAAAATCAATATCAAAATATCGAATAAGTGACTCACTACCAAATATCATTTATTTGATGGTTTAATATCAATTTTTGAGGTCTTAAATGATTTGATTTAATGCCGAAAAATGGATCCATATTATTTTTGTTATATATATTAGATTCTCACCCGCGCGATGCGCGGAATATTAAAATGTAATAGCGATATGATATTATTTGTAAATATCATTTGATCGTGTGAAATGAATGTTAATTGTCATAAACGTAACATGCATAATAAGTTATAAGTAAAGGTCAGATAGTAAAAAACTCAGAGATAGGTAGTAAGTTTGTTTTGGAATAAGTATAAATAACGAACTGTTATAAAATAACATGTCTCGGTACCTTCACCGCAAATCAATATTTGCAGTGCGATGACCTATACATTGCGAAAAACTTTCTTATAAATTACATTGGTGGTTTAGTCAGTTGGCTGGTCATCTTCACCGCAGATCAATATCTTCAAACTCTTACGATTTGTTACCCTTGACACTGCAACATACAGTTGACCATGCGTGAAGACTGACTTTTTCAATAATAGTCTAACATGAGACAAAGATTATCCTTGACCCTTATTTATAGTCATCACCGAGTTCATGACTGGAAATTATCTTCTCTGAAACTTGAACGGTATTCTTGAATCCGAATGAGTTAAGCTTAACCTCGGAATGACAACTTCATGTCCGACATATTTTCTGCCTAAAATTTTTGCCAGAGGATGTGATTTCCAAGTCGTGTAACAATTAACCGTGTTCCATTGCAAAGCCCCATTGATGAGTCAATATTCCTTAAAAGCATTATCGGAGTACCAACCTTTAGTGTTAACTCGTGGTTTTGGAACCCTAGATGCACGTATTTTGTTAAGAAACTCTGGAGTGCGCAAGTGAGCCAGAAAATCAGCATTGGAGTCTGACTTGCAAATGCTATCTAAACTTATATATGTCCTTGACTCTTCATTAACATTCAAAGATGTCATGTATTCGTTAATCGCGTCGACAACATCAAGGATTGGAGCAAGAATTGCACGCTCTTGCAGGTAAGTCAGGTCATTCACAATATTTTCAAAGTTATGGCAGGTGCTTTGAACAATGGTGGCAATGGGTCGGATCCACACTAACAAAAGGTCACTTGGAATTTTGACATTGGCAAAGCCATCATTATCTTCCACCGCAGTCCTGTCTCCTAAACTCGCAATCCACTTTGCAAACTTTACCAAACCCTCATAATCACGATCATCAGTCAATGATTGCAACCTCATGTTCTTCGTCAAACGTAATAACATGCATTCATGCCAAATATAGGAAGAATTAATCGTTGCATTAGCAATGTCTTGTCTAGTACCTTTTGTAATGACTGGTAATATTTTTCTGAAGTCGCCCCCGAAACCCGATCAAAAAGCGTAAGTGTTTTGCACAATAAGATGAGACTTAGGGATCTTTCGAAATAAATGGCGTTCTCGTGCCAACATGACAAGGAAAAACAAACTGATTAAAATTGTACTTGAATGCTTTTGCAAATTTAGCATTAGTCCTTCACGTACTTCAAGTATACGCCAAAGCACTAATGTGCACCGACGGTTTAGCTTAGTTGTACATTGTGCCTACTTCCTGCATAGAGATAGATGATACTTCCTAATTAGTGTCTTGATGAATTCCTTGATCCTAAGAATAGCCCCAAAACTCCCAAATACATTAGGTCGCTTACAGGTTGTTCCAAACTCTTAAACAAATAGACTTTTTCACCATTCACCATCATCTTCGCAAGTCTTTCTGATCAGGAGCAAGATTAGTTGTGTATGTTGCTTTAACTTCAAAGATGTTGTGACAAATTTTGTCAGTAATTTGGGCAAATTCCCGAAATAGGAGTAAAAGAGTTTGAAAATTCCAAAATAGGACTGCCAATTTTTTATTCCCAAAATAGGAGTAATTACTACCAAATATGGAAAATATTGTCATGTTAAAGTCTTGTACTGCCAAAACATGGCATTAATTAGTCCTTGATGGAGTATATGAGCAAGGCAAATGGCTTCAAATGGATGACAGAGTGCCAAAAAGTATTTGAGGAGTTGAAACGGCACCTATCGTCCCCTCATGTGCTTTCCAAACCCAAAGCCGGTGAAACCCTCTTCTTGTACTTGGGGGTGAGCATGTCGGCCATCAGTTCCCTGCTCATCCGCGGGGATGAAGGGGTGCAGAAGGCAATTTTCTACGTGAGCAAGACGCTACGAGAGGCCGAGCTCATGTACTCTCCCATTGAGAAGACGGTTGTAACACTCCGGCCTCGCAGGACCCGAGGTAGCTACTCTAGACCAATAGTACTGTCCTCACAAACCATCACGAGCCTTTACCGCACACTTTGTCCTCACTCATGCCCGCCCTGAGAAACTTCCCAGGGGGTCACCCATCCCAAGACTACTCTCGTGCAAGCACGCTTAACTTTGGAGTTCTTGGGTGATGAGCTCCCTTAAAAGAAGATGCACCTCTGTTGGTATGAGTAGTACTATTAATCCTCTTAAATTAATCTCGGGTATTACAACTGATGGAGTATATGGCACGGGAACCCCCGGCCCACAGACTCCTACTACTCCAGCGAAGGCCCAACAGGCCCAGAAGGCCCAACAGGCCCAAATCACAGCGCCCAGAGTACCAAGCAGCCCGCACTACGCGTCAGGGGTGCCTTCGGCCCCCTGGCCGAAGGCTCTAAACTCTCACAGAACGGGTTTCTCAAGCAAATTAAGAAACTGGGAGAAAACGGCGAAAACAGTAGCCCTCGGCACTGTGAGCCCTCGGCACCAGGGTGCCATCGGTTGGAGGAGCCCTCGGCTACTGCTCTATAGCCTAAGGCATCTCACTCGACAAGATATCCGCCTCACATGCGTACAGATCACCGTACCCTGCACAGACGTCCCATCCAACAGCCGCATTAAATGCGGCCACATGCGGCTGCCAGCGCCAACCAGTTGAGGTGACCCCTCGGCCAATGAGCGCTTGACACGTGTCCCTGTCCGGCATTTATTGCTACTATAAATAGCACCCCATTTCCCCATTTGTAACCACGCTGAAAACGCTCCACATTTATAATACACTCTCTCTCTACATTTACTTGCTCTGACTTCTCTCTAAGTTATTCCCAGCAATAACCCTTCGGATATATACCCCCGGGTAGACTATCCATCATTTGGTGCTCTCGTTGAGAGGTCGAACAATCAAGTAAGAAACCCTCCCCCTTTCGTCAAACACTAGCCCTCTACCAAAATGGTGAGAACAACACGTGCCAACTCAAAGAACGTAGAAGACAAGAACCTGGCCCTCGGCGACGTCAACGCCCCCGAAGCCTCTCACAGGGCTCCCGAGGGCGGTGTCGTCGCTGGGCTGGAACAGGCGGCTGTCGACCTACGCCTTCAGATCCAACAAAATGCCCCCGATGCCCGCCTCGGCATCGAGGCCAAGAAGAAAAACCGGAGCGATGACCAAGTCAGCCCTCCGGTTCTCACCATCGACGTGCAATCGGCGCTCTCCGCCTTCATCCAAACGCTCACTCAGAACCCGGGTGCCTTTGGCACCCTTACTCCGGCTCACCCCCAGGTTGGGGAAAACATCATACTTCCCCCTCCGCCACACCCCTTCGGAAATCCCACCCCTCGGGTGAGGAACGACGAAGGGGTAGTGGCCCAGGACACGTCCTCCCAGGAAGTACAGTCCCGGGATCGCCACAATGACAACAGGGAGAGGCCCCGCACTTCCGCCCTCAACCGGCTCGGAGGAGGGCCAGACCGCCGAGGGGTCCATGACCGCCTCGGAGGAACGGCACTCCAAAGGCCTCAGGAAAGTGGAGGGTCTGTCTCGAGGGCAAACGAGGAGCGTCCCCCTCGGGACAAGGGCAAGGCACCCCTTCATGCCAATGATGCTCGCCACCAGATCAACCAGGCCCACTCGGCCCGGGTTCGTTCGCAGGGGGCGGAGACCCTCCCGAAGGATCCCCGGGACGAGATTATTGCGGCCCTCCAACGCCGGCTTGACGAAATGGAGTCCAACAAAGCTCACGCCACCACCTCCACCCCTCACTCAGACCTCAAATACGAGGCCATGATGGCCAAAATGGAGGAGTTACAGAAGAAGGTGGCCGAGGGCTCCGGGGAACCTGTCATCCAGCTACGGACCCAGACGCCATTTACCCCAAGGGTATTGACGGCCCGGATCCCGGAAAAATACCGAGGGCAGCACATACAGCTCTACAACGGGAAGACGGACCCCCAGGAACACTACAACAAATATCAGAACAGCATGATGATGGTAGGGGCGTCAGACGAATATTTGTGTCGTTGGTTCCTCTCCACCTTAGAGGGGCCGGCATACGAGTGGTTCAACAGGCTTCCCGAGGGCTGCATTGATTCATGGCAAGAACTCGCCCAGCGATTCTTGACACAATTTGCCGGGAGGCGTCGCACAAGGAAGCACTTCTCCCACCTCCTAACAATACGCCAAAAGAGGGATGAGACCCTTCGGGACTTCCTGGAGCGATGGAGGACGGAAGCCGACAAAGTCGACGGTGCTGATAACGGGACCCTCCTGGCCCTCCTACAAACCGTCCTCCGCACCGGCAACTTTTCGAGGAGCCTCATCATTGAACCCCCCCGCGACTACATAAGGGCTTTGCAGCGGGGGGACCGATATGCTGAGGCCGAGGAGGTAGAAAAATATCATCAGCATCCGGATCAGCAGCCCCCGAGGGCTGACAACAAAAACAACCGAGGGCCGGGGGCTCCTCCGAATCACCCCAAACCTTCAGGACCCTCTGATGACCGCCCTCGGCAAGGCCAAGCCAAGCCCGGGAGAGGTTATAAGAGCAACCC